GCGGCCAGGGCTCGGGGCCCCAGCCGCTCCGGGATCTTCCCGGACCGGGGCACGAACCCGAGTCCCCTGCGTCGGCGGGCGGACTCTCAACCACTGCGCCACCAGAGAAACCCCCTCAATCATTTTTAAATGTGCTTATTTCTGCTCTGTGTCACTGACAAAGGACTTGAGAGAGATATATTGATATTCACAATCTCTCCTCTAGAAGTATAATCCAGACACTACCTCATCATATAGCTCTATTTCTTGTACAGAATTACTTTATACAAATAATTTACAGTAATAGTTTTAATTTTATGAATAAAAAATAAACAGTACTAATAAGATTAGTAACTGCTTTGCATTCACAAGAGAATCATAAAGCTATTTTTTCAATAAACAACTTGATAGTTACATAATGTTTTTCAAAATCAAGACAGCTCTTATTTGTAAATTGATAGCAAAACATCTAGAGGTATGCTGGTACACTGGCTCCTTGGAAAGGAGAACAAGGCTCTGACTTGTAGCGTTTGCCAATATCTGTGGTGACAACTGATAGACGATTTTGTTGAAGCTGGAATATTTATATACGAATCTCTAAACCGGCACATATACACACACCATTCTATACAAATGTGCATGCTTTGATTCTTCCTCTTAATACTCAGAGGAGCCTCAGAAGAACAGTTTTTCTCCTGGGGCAGGATATGGATGGGACAGCCTCTTTATAACAGCAATACAACTGAAAACAGATAACATGGATAACAATGATCCTCTCCTTTAGGAGACACTGAGTTTGAAACATCACCCTTTTTTCACTGCAGTGGAGAATCCTACAGCTTTAGTGTTTCCGCTAGAAGGATTTTGACCACAGTGAACTCCAGTGAGTCAAAAAAAACATTAGAAATACAAAGGTCTTCCAAAACATTACCCATGGCAACCACAGTTATCCCCATACCATGGTGACCTCCAGATTGAGTGGTCCACAGACCAACAGTCCAAGATGGAAATAGAATCCAGTCCTTTTTGTAATTCTTCATATGAGGTCATAATGATTATGACGCTTTCCTTAGCAGTAATTCAATCTGGGAAAATTTTAATCTCTGTGCAATATCCAGGGAACTCTCACCATGCTGAGGAGAAAAAGAAATCATAGCTATTTATCTCCAAGAAAGTCAAATGTCAATGCAATGACAATGTCATCCTATTAATGCTAGAACCGAATGAAAGACAATGTTGACTGTCATTTGGTTCTAGCATTAATAGGATAACTTGATTCCTTAATGAGGACAATTGATTTGCTCTTAACAACTTCAGAGGCAATTAATTTATGTCAACACAAAGCCAAAGTTAGAAGGTTATGATGATAGAAGAACCTCAGACCATGGTCCAAAGATCCTTACCTTGTTCTTTATCATGGGGTCTGCATGGGCTGCAAGGAGCACAGGGATGAGAGTCTGGTTTTTCATTTCGCAGGCATAATGTAGTGCAGTGCAGCCATACTGAAACACAAAGGATCGACATCAGTCAGAATCCTTACACACTGCAGCATATGGCTTCTTTAGCAAGCACTTTTCATATTTTGTAATGTACAGCTAAGCCAAACAAACAGTCTGAAAACCATCTTTGTGGAACTATTTCATGCAAGTAAACTTTTGAGAGAAGAAAATGAGTGCAAAGGTTTGGGGCAAAAGGTGAAGACAAAATCTTATAAACAGGAAGAAGTTAGCCGATGGTACTCCTGTTATCACTGTTCTTACTGTCATTTAGATTTCTCTTTGACCTTTGTCCTTATCTTTCCTTAGTTTGCAGATGGGGCCCTTCTCACCAGTGGGGTGGGATCTTGGCTGCAGCAGCAGCTGTTAGGATTCATTGAGCACTTACTATGTGCCAGGCACTCTGCCCAACGCTTCACATAATGATCCCTATAAGATTGCCAACAAACACATGAAAGAATGCTCAACATCATTAATCATTAGAGAAATGCAAATCAAAACTACAGTGAGATATCATCTCACACCGGTCAGAATGGCCATCATTAAAAAAATCTACAAACAATAAATGCTGGAGAGGGTGTGGAGAAAAGGGAACCCTCTTGCACTGTTGGTGGGAATGTAAATTGATACAGCCACTATGGAGAACAGTACGGAAGTTCCTTTAAAAACTAAAAAGAGAACTACCATACAAGCCAGCAATCCCACTACTGGGCATATACCCTGAGAAAACCATAATTCAAAAAAAGTCATGTACCGAAATGTTCATTGCAGCTCTATTTACAATAGCCAGGACATGGAAGCAACCTAAGTGTCCATCGACAGATGAACGGATAAAGAAGATGTGGCACATATATACAGTGGAATATTACTCAGCCATAAAAAGAAACGAAATTGAGTTATTTGTAGTGAGGTGGAGGGACCTAGAGTCTGTCATACAGAGTGAAGTAAGTCAGAAAGAGAAAAACAAATACCGTATGATCCCTATAAGTAAGGACTAGTGATGTTCCCATTTTACAGATGAGGAAACCGAGAGTCCAGTTATGTTTAAAACTTGCCAGAACTCACATAGGTAAAAAGTGGCAAGCCTAGGTTTACACATAGGCATTCTGACTCCAGCTTAACTACTGACGGTGGAATTTTGTAATCAGAGCCTGCATTTTTCTTAACTCCCCACCAGTGGTGGGGCAGTTCTTTTAAAAATATTCTATATTCAATAAAAATGTTATTCCCATGAGTTCAGTGACAGAATATAAACAATATCAAGGTTGCCTGACACAGTAAAAAGGAAAGAAGGAAGGAGGGGAAGGGAGCAGAAACTAAATGTACAAGTGTTTCAGAAAATAAAGCGAGCAACTTTATAGTTGACAAGTACACTACCCACAAATACCATTGGCAATGTTATTTCAAAGTGACTAAAAATATAAACGTACACAATCTGTAGCATT